TTCATCGCCAAGGTTACCCTCCCCGATCCCCTTCGATATTTCTGGCGACCATCGGGTCCGTCCATATAAAACTTTTCCTCTATCCTAAATATAATGTTTCCGAACTTTTTCCGTCGAAATTTTTCTTGGTCGACAAATGCCATATGAACATTTTTACGGCGCTGGGTTAAACGTGGTTTGGAAATTTTGTGTTCATAACTAATGCGTATATCATCTTTGACATGTTGCTTCATAACCTGTTCCGTTACATTTTCGCCTAATTCTACATTTACTTATATGCAAAGATTTGCTTTAAAGCTAGAGGTACAACACTGCGTATGGAAGATATACAAGTTAATTTTTAACCAAATTTTTATTTATGTAGTTATTTCATAAGAGGAGGAATTACTCTTCAACCTAAAACTTAAGAAGAAGAATACGATTAAGTACAAGTTTCCGTCGAAAATTTTAAACATTTTTTATTTACTTATTTCTTCTTACATACATACATTGATTTATATGTTCAACTAAAAACTAAAATATGTATAAAGTTCTGCTCGTATCAAAGGAATAAAATATCTAAAAAGAGACAAAGAAGAAAGTCTCTCATTAATAAAATACATAATGCCCTCTAATTGAAGGTGTGCATACCCGATCAGAAGTCTACAGAGTCGATTATATTAATCAGAATGCAAATCTAGGTATTCCTGTTGCATATCAGATTCGAAATTACTATTGTTAACACTGCTACTCCTTGAATAATATGAATGATCGTTTCGACAACGGGGACCCTTTCTTGAACATCTTCCGCTATTTTTTCATGAATTAATTTTTAAAAATCATTACTGTTATCGCTTTTTTTTGGTGATGGAATTTTTACGTCAGCGATTGATAAAGTCTTTGGAATTAGAGCTATGTTGCTGCGGGTGATCGTCTCCGACCAAAAGACATTAAGATTTTGGAGAACCTATCACTGAAGTCATTCGAAATTTTTATGTTTGTTTTGGCGAACAGTGGATTCAAAAATTGATATATGGCTTCGGAAGGTGCAAAGAGTTGTGAAAATGGAATTATTTATGACAACAACTAGAAACAAATAGAAAATTTACAGAAAATAAGTCTTTGCATGATAACAGAATTTACTTTTTCTTAGTCCACAATGAAAATTGATGCAAAATAGTGATGGGTCAAATAAAATGACTGTGAGCAGTTATGATTATGTAGATTTATTTTTCGAGCTCCTTCCCACGAAAAATAATACTTAAAATGACAATAAGTTATTGCAACAAGACAATGATTTTTTGGTATTTTATGATTGATATACGTAAAGTTTTCTAGTAGGCAAACTGTTGTAAACTCTATTTGCATCAAAGCTGGATTCTTATATATTTTGATGCTCATCAGCGAAGATTAAAGTGTATATTCAAATTGTTAAAACCTTTGCAACGCCCAAAAAGAAGCTATATATTCTTGATCAGTTTCATATTTTGAACTGATTTAAGTCTGTCCATCTGTCCGTCTGTTGTAAACATTTTCCTGACCGTAAAACACGAAGCTGTCGACTGCATATTTGGCAGAAACATTGAAAGGTCTTGCACGCAAGTTGGTATTGAAAATAGGCCAAATGGGTCGAAGGACACATCCACAGTACCAATAAAACTAAGAATATCGCTATTTTTTAAACCGAATAAAATATTGATTTTTTGCTCATCGCTCATGAACTAGAGCAAATAAATGTACAAAAATTTGAATGCATATTCTGTGGGAAGAGATTGACCACGCCTTCCCAATATTATAGTGTATTAAAATTTAATTGTTTTTTCAATATCTTTACAATACGCAGCAACAAGGTTCAAAAGACCCATAAAGTGTATAAATTCTTGGCCAGCTTCAAGATTAGAATGCACGAAGAAAGCATGTCAAGCATTCTCCCGATCGCAAACCAAGAGATATCGCCTACAAATTTACAAAGGAATTTAAAAATTACCTAAAATTTGCAAAGCAACGCCCACACGCCTATGTGACAAAAACTTACTTACTTTGAAAATCAAAAAAAATCAGCCGAGCCGACTGTATTATAAAGTATGAAAACTTAGTTCTTTTCCTCTTTTTTAGTCTTTTTTTTTAGAATAGCGGTGATGGGCATAAAAGATTCGCTCACGACCGAACATAATTTTCTTACTTGTTCTTCATTAACTAATGTTTTTATTCTTATTTTTTTTTTAAATTTTTTTTTTGTCTAACAATTACTCATAGGATTTACATATTACTATGATTACGTAAAGCATTGAAAATAATGTAAAGATAGCCTGAGATCTATAAGCATGAAACAGTTATAAAATTGAAGCAGAAAAATCAATTAAAAATTGTCACACACCACAACACAACATAAAAACGAATAGATTTTAGAGTTAATTTTCAATTTGTTGCTTGTTTTTCCTTTTGAAATATATGTTTGAATGTATTCGCTGAAAGTAAAACAAATGACTTATATTGCTACACTTACTAATGTTACTAATTATTTATGCACGTTTCGCGTATAGCATAAGTATAAGAAAAACCCATTTAAAAATAATTCATTATTTTGAAGCAATAAAAACAAATCGGCCCCTGAGGATATGAAAACCATATCTGTGCGAAGAAGGCGGGCAGATCTCTTGTTTTTTTTTTTTTTTTTTGTCTTCTCAATACTCATTTTGCTTATGAGAAATATACAAATCTATAAAGAAATGTGTGGGAGATTGTTTATATAAAGAAATTGATATACTGTGAAGAAAAAAAAATAAAAAAAAATAAAAAATTAAAAATGAAAAATAATAAATAAATATAAAGTAGGGAGTAAAACTAATAAAATAACATTTGAAACGGAACTTAAGTAATAAAATAAAATCTAAACACTTTAAAGCATACAAAATAAATATTTATTATTTATAATTTTAGCGTCTATTTACAATGTGCTGCGAAACTGAACCACCGATGGCTTATTTGCTTAGCATTTCAGAGTTAGAAAGGAACCTTTTCACACAGCTGAAGTTAAACACATAGCGACGTGGCAATGTAAATGCATTCGCATATATATATATATATATATATATATATATATATCTATTTCGTTAGTTAACTAATTCAATTAGCAAATGATTGCGTAAATCCGTGATGTATTCATGTGAGAAATAACAACAAAACTGCCCGAACAACGAAATTCAATATTTAGTTAACTAACTGGCTAATGAATTTTAAGTCGAACAAAGTATTTAAGTATTTTCACAAGTGTGTAAAATATATTTCTATGCAATGTGTAAATATTGACAGTAAAACAAAAACAAAACAACAACAACAACAAAAAATACTTACCTTTAAGCTCTTTATGAAAAGAAAATCTAGAAATTCGTTAGTCAGAAAAGAAATCACGAAACTACGTTAATAGCATTATCGATCCGCTTAGGTATTAACTTTCTTATACCATTTCTTCCACTCTATAAACATTTTGAGACCAATCATCATCACATCTGAAATAAATCAAAATTTTGCCCCATTGGTCGACTCGTCTTTCATTAAAGTGATCAATTCGAAGCCATTGACCGTGTCTATGACCGTGTTCGCCTGATGTCTGTCCATTTAGTATTGGTGTGATGAAATTTGCTGCACTGCTGTGTTTTCGCCCCTGGACCAACGCTATTGAAAACGAATTCCATCGTCTCGCCATATAACGACTTATTTTCACGAATCGTTTAATGACAACAAAATTGCGATGTAATAGTGTGGCGGTGGAATTTTAAATTCATATGAAAAATTTTAATCGGGTGGAACAATGTTTTGAATCCCCTATCTTTCTTAAGAGAACTAAGCCTTCGCATGGCAAAAAGTTCTGATTTGCAATCTTTCATAGTGAACATTAATTCATAATAGTAATTGTGTAGTAGTAGTGACGAAGAAGTCAACCTTACCGAATTTGGATGATAAAGGTCCACATTCTGAACGCTACCGCATGTAAGGATTCTCGTGAAAAAACTCGAATTTTTAGCATTTTCCAATGAAAATTTATTCATAATAGTGGTTTGACATAAAAATTAACTGGACGAAATTTGAACCAGATGGATCTACTTTCTTGACTCGATTCCATTAAACGGCTTTCTATCGCAAAAAAATTTCCATTTTTCACTATATTAGATTAAAAATTTCTCCATAGTAGCAAATTGGTATAAAATGTAACCGTTTACATCACTTTCGTGACCGTAACTGATAAGGGATGGTAATCACTTTTTTTAATCTTTGCACAAATCTTCTTATTTCATGGTCTTAACCAAGTTTAACAAAATCGCAAAAGTCTTCTCTAATTTTGGATCAACTGTAACCTATACTGCAGATATATGCACATTTAGGCTCATAGCCATTAAGAAATTTCCTGTCTTGGACAGGAATGACCCAAGATTTGCAACAGAGTTGCATTATGGGACTATATATACCATTTTAGAATGGTACACGTGGTAGCGTGTCGTGAAATAACCCAAGGTTTATTATATAAAAGTAAGAAAGCCTTCAGACGTTACGAAAAAAGAAAAAATACCCCTATCTACAATACGCTTTCTAAACGTATCCGTGCAGAGTTACGGAACTCTCTCTCCTCACTCTACGTCTCTTTAAGTTAAAATAATAAGGATGAGAAGACATTTCCTGGACGGAAGAGGTGAGCGTTAACGTTCAATTTTTTAATATAGAATACTGAAACATGGTATACTTACCCTTAGTTGAGCCCACGGATTGAGTTTAAAAATGAAATGAACCGCTCTTATCACTGTTAAACCATTCAAAACCGTAAATCACTAAACTGCATAGCAAATAAAAGATTTTAAAATTGATATAAATGATTTATAAGAATCCCGACTGACCATCTTATTCATACTATAGTTTTGCCGATTCAATTGACGAGACCCTCTTCACTTACTATCATGAGGGTTGTTTTATAAGCCATTTAATATAAAAAGTAAAAAAAAAGGCCGCCTAATACGCAGCGAACGTAGTGGTTCCATCCGGGATCGAACCGGAGACCTTCTGCGTGTAAAGCAGACGTGATAACCGCTACACCATGGAACCGCCGCACTTACTATCTTAAGTCATCATTTATAACTATTATATATTTACACACACACACACACACATGTAAAACAACAATATATGTAGATAAAATAGTGATTTGAAACAAGAAAGTCATTCAACGTAAAAGAAATTTCTATTAATACCAACCACCACTGGTTGTACCATACATTACTTTTAATGCATTTCTCATTGCTGTAGGCTAACATGTTCAAATAACTCAAAACGAAAGCGTCTGAAAGCGTTAAGTCATTGCAATGAGATATATGTGTCGCATCGTAAGCTTAGAGCAAGGCCTACATTGAACATTGTTGAGTAGTAAGTATTTTTGATAAGATCAAAGCTGACCGTTCCGAACGGTCAACACAAAACATATGGCGACATAGAAATATTTCTTACACCGCACATCCATCAACCCGATAAATATTTACGGATAAAGATCTCGTCGACAGTGATCTGCGTGTTAGCTTTTTCACTCGTAAGCTCGGCTATATTAGACTTAAAAACCGAACGGCTTTCCGACATAGACGTTCGTAGCCAGCACCAAAGTCGAAAGATTCAATCATTTTATCATATCTTCTTAAACATTCAGTCCATCTTGTTTACCTCATCAATCTCTAAGATTCACAATTAATGCCTAAGCATCAGCGCGTCCCTTCTCTCATCTATTTATCCATTCGTTACATTTTCTTAGTTCCATAAGTCAATGTTAAGAGACTAAAGTTTGCATAGATCATTTTGCGATGCAGATACACGTCTGCAGTAAAGTGTTTAAAACGTAGATCCTTCGTAGCATCTTTCCACACTTTGAATACATATTCTGCCCAACACACATCATTTTGTATTCTCAAGACTACAATATCAAAATTTGCCGATTGGATTGCTATCAGATTGGATTGTTCATCACATGACCTGTGCATCAAAAAATAGTTTTTAATAAGAACATGTAATAGAACGGGGAGCGTGTTGGAAGGTGGACAAATAGATGACTGGAAGACAGGCAGACAGATTTTAAGACCATACAAGATTTTTATGCTCATCGAAAATATGTATACTTTACGACGCCTCTAATACGTATTTCATCGGGATGTTATCAAAAGGGATCAAAAATCCACTCCGATAAAGGCATAAACATAACTAAAAATGATTAGTGATAAGCTCTCTCGCACAATTTTGTGCAGCCTTTTAAAATTTCTGCGAAACGCAAAATTAAACACGATACGTAATAATTTTTTTCGCATGTTCAGTATACGCACTCATCCCGCGCGATGAACTCAACGCATATCAACAAAGTAATTTTTCATAAATGTACAAATTAGTTACAATTTTTTTCAATAAGTTAAAAAAAGATAAATAAATAAATAAATGAAGCATAATTCCATTTCCCGTCTAAACAAGTGCACGGGATATTGACTTGATTTTTATTTTATTATTTTTTTTTTATAATTTTCTATGTATATTTTTTGATAAAATTTTGGTAAAAAAAAAAAAAAATCATAAAAATTAACATTTTTTTTGGTCTTTTTTTTTTTTTGTTAAACAAATAAAATAAAAAATTTGAAGTTTATTTGCATAGTTGTAAAATTCAACGGAAATTGGTAAGAAAAACATTAAATCAACAGAACTTAAACTTTTGCTGTTGACTTTTATTTTTGGCATTTTACGCGTACACATAGTGGATGTATGTTTTAACAAAGTAAGAGTTGTGTCGGATCATTAAACTTTTGAACACAAAAACCAAATAGACAAACACAAACGATTTCCTTATTGCATAGTTTCTTTTTTTTCGTTTTTGTTTTTGTTTTTGTTTTCGTTTTTCTTCTTGCTCTTCTTTTTTTTTCTTCTCCTTCTCTTGCTTTTTCAATTTACTTTAGATAACAAACGCGACCAAGATGAGTAGGAAGCCAAGTAATGAAGAGTACAACAAATATACTTTATACTTACGTACATATAAACCAGAATAAGGAAAACAGAAAAAAAAAAAAGACAAGAAATCGATCGCATACATGTATATGAACATGTGGTTTATTGGAGAAGCTAGTCTACCCACACTATGAACCTACACATTTATGAAGATCTGTGCACATTTATACGCATACACATAATGCATACACACGTACACACATAGTAATATGTTAAATACAAAAAAAAAAAAAAAAAAAAATATAAATTCTTCAATACAATTATCAGCAGACACATCTGGAGTTTGAAAGCCTATATCGTTATCTTTCTCTTTTACGGTATGTGCGCGTATTTATGTACGCAGTATTATTTCGCAAATAAACTTAACAAATAATAAACAAAAAAACTCTAAAAAGAACGCATAACGTATAACGCGCGCACAAAGATTTACGATTTGCTAACAAACATCATACAAAACACTTATGAATACTTTCTTATGCATGCATAAATGCATTCGTATAGGAGTTATATATGGATGCACACATATATATATATATATATATATATATATTACTTTGAATATATTATGTTTACACATATGTATAGATTATAGATACATGCTTAAATGTTTGTACGGATATTAACAAAAACGTGGGATATTTTTTCGCTTCACCAACGGAGAGTCTTTAAATACAATATTTTCCAATTTAAATACATTTTGTTTTCCTTTATATCTTTGCGCGCGGCACAAAACTTTTTTGTTTTCTGCGAGTTTTTTTCCTTTAATTTTTTTATTTTTTTATTTTTTTTGTACTAAACCGCCTGAAAAAGGCGTCAATTTTCCATTTAGTCGCCATAGAGATTTTACAATTGAAGTTATAAGGTTTTTTTTTTTTTATTTATTACGTTAACGTGCATCTGCTTTTTTTAGTTGCTTGAATTTTCAAAAAGTAGACGCGTTAAGATATATCCTGAGAACATATAATTTTCCATAAATTTATTCACATATATATTAAAGATTTTTGATGCCTAACGCCAAGAGAAGAATGCGCTAAATATCATTTGCAAGGAATACATACAATGTAAAGCACAAACATGTATATATATATTTCTTGAAAATGATATGACAAATTAAGTATGCATCCCATGATTTGGGAATATATATATATTTATATGTATATGTATATCTGTCCTTTGCACATCTATATATAATCGTCTCTTTTGAACTGATATATAAGTATATAGATCAAGTTTCTGGATTCAATATAGCAGTTTTTGCGACCTAGGAAAGTTTACTAATATACAAATCGAATGATTTGACAACTAAATCGATTCTCATTTTCCGAATGATCACAAGATAGGTATATAACAATTTATTATTATTTTCGATAATTTATAATTCATTTTGTTTTTTTTTTTTATTTTTATTTGTTTCTATGAAGAAGAAATGGTAAAAATGAAATAATTGTTTGGAAAGAAGTTAATAAATGACGATATCGACTCGCCGACGTTATTCGGAAAGATAAACTAATCTTTCTTCTTCTTCTTCTTCGTTAACCAATGTCAAAATAACTATGAAATTTTTAAGCCTTTCACGGTTTTCTGTGAAAATCTAAATTCTGTCTATTTGAATAACGGACTCGTTGCACAATATTAAATCGGTGCCGATGTCATATTTAAACTAAACTAACTACCATATTTATAGTATCGATTGGGCCACAAGCTGATCCAGATATGTTCAGTATCATCGGTTGTCAATGCGATTGCTTAAAAGCTTACATCATATCGTTTAGTATTGAATTTTCATATTCAATCTTATTCGTTAGTGCTTACACAATCCGGCTGTCATATTATACAGATATATATATATATATATATATATATATAATATTTTCATATCGTAGTTATTACGCATCTTATTCAGTTAACTACGAGTTGCGGCCCTAGAAATTTTATATTCAGTCTAAAATCATCAAATAAATAAAAATAATTAAAAGAAGATATTCTTTAATCCGCATCATCATTATACACCAGACCGCTTGTGGTACAAGGGTATATTAAGTTTGCCGAGGATGTATATAAACAACTAAATCGATTTGAGATAGACTCACCTTTCATTATATACCAATCGATTCAGAAAGTGATTCTGGAGATGTGATTCTGTGAGGTTGGTATGTCCCTCTGTCCGTGCTGTGTTCAAACTACAGTTCGTAATTTTTAAAATATTTTAATGAAATATATTTGTATAGCAATGTGGTTTGCCCCACAGACGAACGCTCTTGCAAATGCTTTGAATCGAACCACTGTTTCGACCACCGTAGGGTATTTAATGGTACGCGGTAGATTCACTATAGTGTTTCTATTTGTGTTTATTAAATATATGTAGAGATCTTTGTATGACTATTTTTGCTAATATCCTTGACATCGTCTTCTGGATTGATAATATTTATAGGCATTTTACGCTTTTACGGCGGTTATGGAAATAATTGTGAATGGCGTAAATATCCCTAATTTTACCACATATATTTTTTATATAACAAATCATACCATGATGTGACTCTCAGTCATGTGTGGGTATTTAGTTTAAATTTATTTATATATTCAAACGAATTTTATATAAACGTAAAGTATTATGCAAAGGACATGTATTTTTGGGCGAGCATAAGAAATAATCCAAAAGTTTAAGTTCCAGTCAAAGACTTAACGTGGCAAGACTAGAATTATTAGCTGATAAAAGCTGGTAAAAAATGCGGAGGTGATTGAAGCTTATGCAAACGAACTTCCCTACAATAATCCCATATCTGGTCATCTTATAGTCTGTAGAGATCAAAATATAATTTATTCCTGCTACACTTTTTGAATCAAACATAACCTTTTAATTTTTTCTTAAAAGACTTTTTCAATATTGTGCTGGAAAATCGTTATATATTTCAAGCACAAATTAAAAAAAAGAAAAAAAAAAAAAGAAGAAAACTTCTCAGTTCTAATCATATGCCACTAAGCATTCAGCGTTGCTGAAAATGTGCGAGTTATATAAAATATACGACATGTATGCGCAGCATTAGTGAATAAAATTAATTGACGCATGCGTATACTAT